AGAGTGTAAAACGTGTGTACATCACTATTTTCAATGTAATGTACAATACCATTTGATGTAACCTGTATTCAGTGTGTGTAATTTTAATTTAGCATTTTAACTAGTATAGAAGCATTTATTATATACTAACATTTATAACAATTTTAGCCTGAAGATGGCGTTGACGCCGAAAATTTGCCCTTACTCCTAACTTCCTTGTTTCACTTGTCCTTGTCTCTTCTAACCGGATAATATCCAGATATCAGTATATCAAGGGTGTCGAAGGCTTTGCTTAAGTCAACGAATATCCCTAGGACATGTTTATTGCTTGCCAGAGACTTAGTAACGGAGTCTATAGATTTGTGTAGAGCATGGGTGGTAGAATGGCCTTTTCTAAATCCAAACTGTGAGTCTGTTAGTACACCTTTAGATGTGAAGAAATTATAGAGGCGTTTATAAATGACCTTCTCGAAGATCTTTCCAAATAAAGGTAATATTGATACAGGCCGATAATTTTCAATGCATTCCTTATTGTCTTTCTTGTAAATAGGAATAACTTTACCAGTTTTAAAAATACTTGGGAATGTACCACTTTGTATACATGTGTTGTAAAGCCTAGCCAAGGTACCAGCAATGAGCTTGGCTGGTTTTTTAACAACAACTATAGGTATGTCACTCGCCTTACCATTTTGAAAATCCCTGATCACCTCTATAATTTCTTCTTCATTAGTTTCTTCCAGGTATATGGAGTCAGATACCGAATTAGACATAAACTGAGCAAATGATTCTACTGGTTCCAGAGAAATACTATTGTTTGACAATACATTTTTATTGAGATTACTTGCAAGAGATGTAAAATATTCACAGAATTTGTTAGCAATTATTCGTCTGCAAGTAACTCTCTGGCCATCTATAACAAAATCGTCCTTACATCTAGACAAATTTTTGCCACGGAGTTCATTTATAATTTCCCAAGTCTTTTTTGAGTTCATGCTGTACTTCTCGAATTTTTGAGTATAGCACATAGCCTTTGCCATCTTTATTGAGCTCTTGAGAAACTTGTCGAATTCCTTGTAGTAGATGTGCTTGTTTGGATCCCCATCAGGTAGTTTTAATGTACAAGTCTTCTTCCATTCGAAATACAACCTAGCTTTCTTGTCGATGGAGTTAATGAGGCCCTGGGTGATCCAAGGGTTGGTTATGCTGTTACGTTTAGTGGTTCTAGGAGTTAGAAGTTTGCAAGACAAATCTATCTTTTCTTGAAATAACTGCACGAAAGAGTCAAATGTGTTACAGCTGTGGTGGAACCTATCTATATCGTTTTCTATTTCAAGACAGAGCTTCTCTAAGTTAGCATTACTATAGTCGTAGTGTATAGTAATTTTGTCTGATGAATCAGGTGTTGGCACAGAGTCAGGGGAAAGTTCAATAAGAGTGAATATAGGGTGATGGTGGGAGATCTTGTCAGATATCACACCAGAAATAAGGGATTGATCTACGACATTGGTATGGATATTGTCAATACAGGTCCTGGAACAGCCAGGCATTTGGTGAGTTGGTACTGATATGGTTGGTATGAAGCCGTTATTGAATATTATTTCTTGGAATTTGTCCTCTGATGGAGATGGGTCGTTCAAAATGTTAACATTGAAATCACCAAGAATATATACTTTTTTGCCATTCAGTTTTGAGAGAATACATTCATACGCTTTGTTGAACATCTCAAGTGATGCGTTTGGGGGACGGTATATAACCCCTACGACAGTTGGATCTTGCAAGCTAGTGATAGATACAAACAGTGATTCTATGTGTTCATTACAGAGAGATAAGTCAGTGATTTTGTTAAAGTTAAGGGAATCGTGTAGGTAAAGACACACTCCTGACCCTTTACCCTTGAACTGGTTTTTCTCTTGGCAAAAGTAGCGTGATTGGTAACAGGAGGAGTATCCGTTAAGCTGATACAGAGTTCCATTTTCGGGATTAGTGTTTGTTTCTGCAAGGCCGATAACAGAGAATTTGTGGTCGATACAAGACAATTCAACTGCAAAGTTGTCAAAGTTTGATGCATTTCCATCAATATTTAGAAATAATTTTGACAAATATTTAGCTGAATTTTTAGGTAGGATGGTGGCATTCAACTCTGTTATTGAGAATGTTTTGCAATTTTCAAGAATCTTTGAGCTATTGTAGATAGATTCAATATAATTAACTGGCTCATCATCAATGAGGCCATTGTTTGCAAAGTGGGGAGCTTGGTAGAAAGGGTTATACCGAACGATATCATTGGCATCAGTGCATATTTTGCAGTATGTTGCATCTCGAAATTTGACTATGTTATCATCAGTTTTGCATTTTTTGTGCATTATTTTGTCACACATCTGACAAGTTATGAATGGATGTCCAGCACGCACAGGTCTATTGCAGCAGCAGCAAATTTCGCATATTAGTTTGGCTATCATGACATAACTACGGATCTACGAGAACGTGGGGAAAATCTTTTTTGGGCCTTGGTAACATCACTGAACAACCTCCCATCAACGGGGCTAGCTAGGATCTTATGTGCAATTGCCCGGGAGAGTTTAAAGATACCGCTTGACCCCAGGTGGATTGGGTCATCCGGCTTCTTATATCTACAAAACTGCTTGTCCAGTAGACCCTCCTCATCAACAAAACTATCAAAATCTAAAGTGCCTATTCTAGTATTAGTATTACAGTACCCAAATAATAAACTATTAAACTCCATGGCTCTGTCATTCAGCCAGGAGGACCTAGTTGGAAGGATGGGTGAGACAATAACTTTAGAATATGGACACATATCACAAATATTCTTGAGCTTCTTCGTCAGCTCATTAGCCCAATGTTTAACATCACCCCCTCCCCTCTTGATATTATTTATACCACAGTGTACTACAACGTTCTTGTATCCAACACAAAGAACAGGGTCTAACTGATCTATTGTGAAACATTCGATTCTTTTCCCAGGCAGCTTGTGTCCAAATGTTCCTTTTCCAGCCCCAAATTTGAGGAACCGGGTGTTTGAATCACCGACAATCAAGGTCGCATTGATGCTCCTGCTTACGTAGCGGAAGGTAATACTGTATCTTAAGTCCCTCTTTTCTGTGCTTTTATCAATTCGGTGGTCCCAAAGAAACTGGGACTGTTTGCTCATGACATAGAGACTACGTCCCTCTATTGTCTCTACGACCTCTCCTTCAAGCTGATCCTTTTTTGTGAATTTTACAGAGCAATCACCACCTAAGGATACTGTAAATATGGAACTATCATGGACCAGTGATTGCTCGTTATCAGAGTGCTTAGGAAGAAAACTGTTCCCATCAGTGTACCGATTTATCAAGCACTGATTGATTGTTGAACTAGGACATTCTTCCTTTATCTTGGAGACAAGCTCATTCAGAACATCAGGGAAGTCTGTCGATTTTGGTTTTTCAGCTTTAGCCCCGGGGTATTGATAAGGTTCGCCAAAGCTCAGAACCCCATGCCCATTTTCGGAGTTACTATCAAAGGCTTCCTTATGTTGGTCTAAGAAAACTAAAAGCTCAGAGTTCAATTTTTCATCTACAAATTCTGGGACATACGACAGAATATGCTTGGACTTAGGGTCGTCTACACTTGCATGCTTCTGTGCATCTAGGAGAAGCTGTTCTTGGTCCGTTTCACATGGTGCAGGTGACCCTATATTAAAAGGAGGCATGGGCAGATCAGGGGTGGAAACATTTGATGACCTACTGTTTTTAAAACAGTTTATGTCAAGTTTGAGCTCAGCAAGCTTGCTGTTGATGGAGTCGAGAGTTCTGAGATGGCTATCGTTGTCTTTAAGGTTCTTGATGGACTTCTGAATGGCTTCTAGAGAATCTTGTAGAGAGCTACCATCCGAGGTAGTGTGACCCATTGGCATGCTCAAGCTGCAGGGAGCTGACAAGTAGGAAGAGGACTTGACTTCGTTTTCACATCTCTGTCCACTTACTACAGCACAAACACTTTCAGCAAGACCTAGCAGGGATAGGAGACCTTCTGCTAAAGTTAGTTTGTTCAGGGATGAACAACTCTTGATCATAGCTGGTGTAATGATCGCAAACTTGTTTACTTCAAGTTTCAGGATACTGCAAATGTTAATCTTGATTAAGTCTACCTCTGAGCGTAGGTTCTGTGCGTGGGTTAACAGATAGGTGTCGAGGGGAGCAGATCTATTTGTGAAGAAACTAAGGAGACTGCTGACATTTTTGTCTTCTTCTGAGTCCTGATTTTCTGAATGAATTAGTTTATCGACATCTCTAAGCATTTCGTCAATATTGTCAATGACTGAAGCTGAGGAAGTGGTGGGTGTATCCTGATCGGGAACCGTAGTGGATGAAGTCTGGTCTGCAACAGGTTGAGGTTTCTCACACTTTTCTTGAGTGTCAGTGGGGGTTTCCATCATGGTGAAGAGGCAATGGGGGTACCAGGCAGACCAGGGGGCACCTTCACGTCCAACTAGCACACTCACTGAAAAGAAGGAAGAGCAGAAAGCAGTTTGAAATGTCTGTTGTGGAAAACAATGAAAGTGTTAACTGGATTAGTCAAAATGATTCAAAAGATTGAAAAATTGAACAGACTGACGGACTACGACACATGGGACAAGAGAGTGAGTGAGTATGAAAAATATGAGGTGGTTGGACTGGCAAGCCCTATCATTTAATCAGAATACATTACATATAATCCATAAGCCATATATAAATGTCAGCCTGTTCTTGGAGCACAGCCCCAAAAGTTATTAGAAGTGAAGTTCAAGTTTTAAGTTTAAAATTCTTTCAACACTATCTACACATTAATCAGGGTTGTCCAATTGTCCAATTGTGGATTGTGGTGTGAATGGAGTTATACATTGCCAAACAGAAACATTATTCACTACAACTACTTAACTTCTTAACAGGTTAAGAGTGCCAGTCTTCTGTTTCAGCACCCCCTGGACCATCATAGTACCCCCGATGCAGTTGACTTTAGCAAGCCATGGACATATTGGACATCCTCAAATTATTTGTTATATAGTAGTGTTGAAAGTATTAAAACTAGAACGGTCTTAAAGACTCATGAGCAACATAGCATTTGTCACAAGATGTAAGATGAGTCACTTTAATTTGTGTCCAGAAACACCTACAAAAATTAGAGAATGATCTACTTTATTGGGCATCTCTCTTAATGGGCCAGGCCAGCAGCATATTTGTGTCTTACAAAAGGGCGATTTTTCAAAATTACGGTTTCTTAAGGCAGCTAACAGCGAATTGGTCGCATTTGGCGACTCATGCACATCATGTACTCAAAAATGCTCATTTTAGGAGTCATTAGTAAATAACTACTACGGGGTCCGGACTCTAGGGCGTAAGACTCTAGGGCGTAAGACTCTAGGGTCTTAGGGTTAGGGTTAGGGTTAGGGTTAGGGTTAGGGTTTGGGTTTGGGTTAGGGTTAGGGTTAGGGTTAGGGTTAGGGTTAGGGTTAGGATAAGGGTTAGGGATAGGGTTAGGGTGATGGTTAGGGTTAGGGCGCCGCCCTAAAGTCTCACGCCCTAGAGTCTTACGCCCTAGAGTCCCGGACCCAACTACTACATGATTTGTGAAAACCCCCAATTTTTCCTTGGCACCAATTTAATTTTTAAATTTGATATGTGCCAGACCAAAATTCAACTTCAAACTTTTTATTTATTTAATTTTATGCCATGAAACCATGATATATGTACTGGTCAAGAATACTATACCGGACCTAAAATAAATCGGCACTGGATCTGGTCCAGATTGTTGCTTGACCGCTGTACCCCACTTTAAAATTATGATTGATTTCGCTGTCTCGACCAATATTGGTCTGTTATCCCTGGTTTGAGATCTGTTGGCCGCAGTTTAATAATACCGCAGTGGTTTGGTTCGCATAGATTTTACCATCGTATGATAATGTGTGTCATTCCCTAGTTTTTTAATCTAGTTGTTACTGGCTAGCTCTTTTGTTACTACAGCTGCCTCGAGATCTTATCTAGGGCACTAATACATTAGTACTAGAACATTATAACTATAATTCTAGAACTTCAGATTAAGATTACTTGGCCGAATGGCAGGGTTCGAGATTCGACTCTAAAACGCTCAGTTTAGGAGTGATTAGTAGATAACTACTGCATGATATGCGAAAATTCCAACTAGACAAGGATGATACTTAATCAAAGTGTTCCTCGACTTGAACTTAAGTCTTGTAACCTACTGGAGTTTGGGCCACTGAATCGAATACGACCTGATATTAATTTTAGGATGTCAGGAATTCATTAAGATTTTTATTCTTTGGTTTTCAATTGTGCTACGAATCCGACTTTGAGTTGATAACACCGAATTTCCTGTTTGCCTCTCAAAGAGAAGAACCGAGGCTTAGGTTCCTCTTATGGCTCTGAGATTCAACTTTAAGATCGGAGTTCGGAGATCCTCGCGTCGAAGATCATGTAAGTGTAACATCAGTACCGGAGATCAGACTTTTTGCTTGATATTGGACCTATAAATCTAATTATATATTCGAAACAGCACGGGATGTAACCAAGGTTAATTTAGATAAGATATACCAGCTTTCGGGGTTACAAGACCTTATGAAAGGCAGGCAGAGCATCCTAAATCCTCATGCTATCCTCACGTTGACCATCTAGGTGCAGACTCCAGCTATTAGGCCCGAGATCCGTCCCTTGTCCCGTAGTGTCCCGTTAGTAAGAGATCGTTCAGATTTTTGTCATTAAGACCCCCTCCCCGCTCTAAAATCCACTTTACCCACAGCTGGAAACATTTCACATGTGAAACCTAAATAGCCAAATCAGCATCTCGAGACCTTCTATTATATAAACCCCTTGATCCTACTATAAGCTTATAACTTATAAGGCATTGCATGCCGAAATTAAGATTCACCTCAACTGGTGATATGAACCTGGTATGTTACCTGAATGCCCTCAGTCAAATCTCGAACCCTGCTAATGCTATTCTGCCAAGTAACCTTTATCTGAGGTTCTAGAATTACAGTTTTAATGTTCTAGTATTTGTGCCCATGCCCCAGATAAGTTCTCGAGGCAGCTCACTGCTGTAATAACAGAAGAACTAGCCAGTCAATGACACGCATTATCATATGATGGGAAAATCTATGCGACTGAAAAAAAGGATATGGGGTCATTCTGAAGTACTGGTCAGTACTGGTCAGTGGTCAAGCAACAATCTGGCCCGGAAACAGTGCCGATTTATTTTAGGTCCGGTATTCTTAGTACATTATACATATCATGGTTAAGTTTCATGGCATGAATAAATAGAAAGTTGAATTTTTGTCATAACATTTTGGCTAAATTGGTGCCAATAAAAAAGTGTTGGATTTTTCACAAATCATGCAGTAGTTAAACTTATTTACTAATCACTCCTAAAGTGAGCGTTTTTGAGTATATGATGTGCATGAGTCGGCAATTTCAAACAATTTACTGTTAGCAACTGACCCATTGACCTTTACTAAAGAAACCGTAATTTTGAAAAATCGCCCTTTCGTAAGACACAAATATGCTGCTGGCCTGGCCCATTAAGAGAGATGCCTAATAAAGTAAATCATTCTCTAATTTTTGTAGGTGTTTCTGGACACAAAGTGACTCATCTTACATCTTGTGACAAATGCTATGTTGCTCATGAGTTTTTAAGACCGTTCTAGTTAACAGTCCAATAGCCCATTTGTGAATATTATCGCTCAGCAAAAATCCGTTTTTCAGCCACATTTCCGAAAATAAGCCTTTTAGGGTATATGTTGCTTCATAAGTTGTATATAAATGTGGCCATTATGTACATTTTAGTGTATCAGAATAGTCTCTACGACCTTCCTAGGCGGAAATGCCAAAAATCACGGAAATTTGAACTGCGTCAAGGCAAAAACCGTTTTTCGGCCATATTTCCGAAACGAAGCATTTTAAGGTATATGTTGCTTCATAAGTTGTATATAAATGTGGCTATTAGGCACATTTTGGTGTATCGGAATAGTCTTTAAGACCTTCCTGGACTGAAATACAAAAATTCGAGTGACCGCAAAACCCTGAAAAAGGGTGTGGCCGAAAACGCCCTTATTGCATTTATTTCAAAAATGCAATAAAGTCCAAATGTTTTGAGAATCATCTAGAGAGGTGATAACCGTTGAGAAATCGCTTTTAACACGAAAAGCTAACGAGATTCCGTTTCGTCTCAGACTAGAGTGTCTGTTCTATCTCAACCTGGCTATGGATAGCATAATTGAGTATTGGACATCTTGTTGGCGCATGGTAATAGACTGTGATGTAATAAGACTGAGATTGTATGCTTCAACTCTTATGATTACGATGGAATCCCACCTTCATTCAACCTAGGAAGGAACTCAATTTATTGCAGATTTGTTGTGAAAATTTAGATAATAGTTTATTGGTAGAAGATCCTCAATGCAAATGGAGGGACTTGCTTACCAGTGGGAAAATAGAAAGCTTTCCGTCGTAAAAGCATGAAGCTTCCTGGCACAATGGGAAGGGAGGAAACTTCCTGAATCCTGGTTAGAAGAGAGAAAGCTTCCTTGCATTGTGGGAAGACAGGAAGCTTGGAATGGAGATTTAAAACAAAACTTGACTAGATTTATCATCACTCATTGTAAGATTTCAATCCTATAATCTGCATCCTCTTTTTCGAATCACACTTATTTCACAATTGACTTCCTGGTTTTTATGGGAATAGAAACTTAACCAGGAACACGATTTTGGAAGGCTTTGGTTATTGTAGACTTCAATGTGACCAAGCAAAAACGTAACAAATTTACCAGCAGGCTGGTGGGAAATATTATGTGGAGAAAGAAAAACTTTTAAAAGGTAAAACCCCCTTAAAAGGTAAGGGAATGGGCTCCTTACTCCTTAGTATTGATAACTATGCAAATGTACCAGTATATAATGCCGTTTATAAGGTTGTTTATTTGTATGTGGTTTTAAAATAATGTTTAAACCTGGCATAATGATCTTCATACGTAAACTCCAAATTCCACTTACAATTAGAATTTGATTTATTTTACAAATTCTAAACTTAAGTTTTGCACACCTGCTGGACTTACACACTTACATGTTTTCAAGTAGTTATCATGACAAAGAATTTTTGAATTTTCTACATTCAATAAAAACAGTTGATCTATGATACATTGGAATATGCTTGCTATTTAAATCTCTTAGGCTACAAAAGTAGGGTATCAGTAAGCCACATGAGGCTGATGTGATATTTTGATAAACTCTGCTGCACCAGCTCACACAATTTCTGACATTAGTAAGGATTTATGGATCGTGAAAAATACATGCATAGATCTGAATACTAATTTTGACATGTGACATTGAATTTGGGTTTTTATTTCAATATTAGTGTAACCCGGCCAGCGGCCTTCAGTTGAAAAGGCTAGGAGTATTTACTGTAACACATAATCGCATAAGCAGTTCTTTCTATTGAATAATTAAGTCATTATTAGGCACCACATTCCATGATCACTCTGTACCACGACTATTACACCTCATCACTCCCGTCTTAAACCGCTTTCCATTTTTATTTAAATCCTTTTAGAAATTAACCCTTATTAACTAAGCACCACACCCGCCTATTATATTTGAAAACATGCATGACATTGTCGTATGAAAGTATGAACTCTCTCTAGCTCTACAGTCCAAACAGACTGCAATCAATGCCCTTCACCCCTAATAAGCTTAAAGTATCACTTGCAGGGGCTCACTTAATTATGATTCATGAACCAACACTACATAATCTGCAGTAATGGAAGAGAGAGCCAAGAGGGAGAAAAAGTGAGCCATTTTTTGTCACATTTATGGTACAAACCCATCAATTAAACCACTTACCACCGGCCGGTTTAAAAAAATTTGCTTATTGGTTTCGTCAGAAATTACACACAGATTTATTGAGATTATTATTTAAGATATGTAATATGTAATATGTAATATGTAATATGTAATATGTAATATGTAATATGTAATATGTAATATGTAATATGTAATATGTGAT